GTCCACTATGAAGCCATCTTCCTGGTTCACATGTGTCTTACAGATTATTCTCACTAGAATCCCACAGAATAGAGGTGGCAAACATGAAATCACCTTAAATTGTTCCCCTTGCAATTACCTGCAAATCGTTGTGCTATCTTCAGACCTGCAACCAGATGAAGACATGAAAAGTCAGCTGAGTGACTGGGCAGGCAGGGCTGCTGTAGGTAACAAGTTGTGGAATGTCAATTTTAAGAATCAGATCTATACTTACACTGCTTTACAAAACGTTTTTCTTGCTCTGCAAACAATCCAGTGGAGAGATAAATGTTTTGATGACACATAGACTGAAGTTTCAATTTTGCATAGGAAAGAAAACAGAACTTACCACGTACTCCAGCAGTAATTTCTTAAAAAATAAAAAGCAAAAAGGAGTATTAACTTTTGAAAGCCTAAGAATGTAGATCCTAGGATTTTTCTACATATGATGTGTAAAATATTTGGAAACATTTGTTCAGCTTTCTGGAACTTCAAGCAGAAGTACAGAAATAGCCTTTATAAAAAGTTCTCTCTCCTCTGCAGACAGTCACACTGAGATAAATATTTTCATGACATGTACAATGAATTTTGAATTTAGCACAGGAGCAAAAACAAAACTTACCGCTGCGTTGTTTAGCAATTCTCTCTGAAGAAAAACAAAAGGTCAAAGGAACATTATTTTGAAACACCAAGAAACTTGTTCCTAGCTTTATCTTCATATAATCTGTAAAGTACTTGGAAATACTGTTCAGCTCTCTGGGGTTTAGAGCAGAAGTACAGAAACAGTCCTTACAAATAGTTCTTTTTTCTGCAATCACACAGAAAGAAAATATATTGATGACATAAAGATTGAATTTTCAGTTTAGCATAGGAAAGAAATCAGAACTTACCACGTTGTATAGCAAGTCCCTCTAAAAAAAAAGGCACAGGAATATTAATATTTGAAATGCCAGGGAAGTGGTTCCTAGCCTTTTTTTTTTTTTTAATATGATTTGTAAAATATTTGGGAAGATTTGTTCAGCTTTCTGGAGTTTGAAACAGAAAGACAGAAAGGGTCTTTACAAAAAGTTTTCTCTGTTCTGCAAACAATCACACTGAGATAAATATTTTCACGCACATACAATGAATTTTCAATTTAGCACAGGAAAGAAAACAAAACTTACTGTGTTCTCTAGCAATTCTCTCTAAAAAGAAAAAAGACAGGACAAAGAATATTAAAGTTTCAAACACCAAGAAAGTGGTTCCTAGATTTTTATCATCATATAATAAGTAAAATATTTACAAATATTTGCTGAGATTTCTGGAGCTTGAAGCAGAAGTGCAGAAGCAGTATTTACAGAAAGTTTTCTCTGTTCTTCAATCACATGGAAAGTTAAATATTTTCATGACACACAGACTGAATTTTCAGTTGAGCACATGGGCGAAATCAGAACTTACCCTGCTCTTCAGCAATTCCCTCTAAGAAAAAGACAAAGGAATATTAATATTTGAAATGCCAGGTGAGTTATTCCTAGCCTTTTTGTACACTATTGGGAGGATTTGTTTAGCTCTCTGGAGTTTGAGGCAGAGGACAGAGAGGATTTCTACAAAAAGTTTTCTCTGTTCTGTAATTGATGGAGACCACTAGGAAGCAGCTCTAAGCAGGACATAAATTAACCAATTGGCTTTATATGTTTAATGTGAGTCTCTCCAAGGCCTAGGCTCCTTATCTGGAGATGGGGGACGGATTCTTAGTAAGTGAACCTCTGTGAGTCACTGATCATACTGAGGCCTGTAATTGCAGGTGATGACTTGAAGCCTCAAAGGATAAGGCAAGGTCACAGCCAAGGATACCTGACTCCAAGCTCAACTAGATAAAGCCTGTAGCCTCAGGCACCTCACTCCTGGGTGGAGACTTTCCTGGAGTTAATGTTGCTCTCCTAAATTAACATAATGCCTTACTTGGAGAAGTCCTTGACTGGTTCTGCCTTTCTTGGGTACTCCCCTCCCTTCTGACAGCTAAATAAATAGGGACCACCCAGAGAAGGTCTTGGTCCTATCTCCAAGAGAATCTCAAATTCTGTGAGAAGGCTTTGATCCTCCTGCAGCCCTGAAATCATTCCATTTGTCTGCTTTTAATTAACCTTTGCCATACACTCTTTTAGGAGATTGTGGACCCGATCAGCCCTCAGTAAATAGGGGATATTATTAACGCAATATGCAATCACACTGAGAAATAAATATTTTCAAGACATATACACTGAATTTTCAGTTTGGCACAGGAAAGAAAGCAGAACTTACCATGTTGTTTAGCAATTCTCTCTAAAAAAAAAATGGGCAAATGAATATTAATTTTTGAAACACCAAGAAATTTGTTCCTAGCTTTTATCTTCATATGATTTGTAAAATATTTGGAAATGTTGTTCAGCTTTCTGCAGTTTGAAGTGTAATGACAGAAGGGTCTTTGCAAGAAGGTTTCTCTGTTCTGTAAACAATCACACTGACATAAATATTTTCATGAAATATACCCTGAGTTTTCAATTCAGCATAAGGAGGAAAACAGAACTTACCATGTTCTTTAGCGATTTTCTCTAAAAACAAAAGAGTAAAGGAGTATTAGTTTTTGAACACCAAGAAAGTTGTTCCTAGCCTTTATCTTCATACAATTTGTAAACTATTTGGAAACATTTGTTCAGCTTTCTGAAGTGTGAAGCGGAAGGACAGAAATGGTTTTTACAAAAAGTTTTTTCTGTTCTGCAGACAATCACACTGAGATAAATATTTCCATAACACATATGCTGAATTTTCACTTTACCACAGCAAAGAAAACAGAACTTACCATCTTCTCTGGTGATTTTGTCTGAAAACAAAAAAGGGCAAAAGAATATTAACTTTGGAAAGGCCAAGAAAGTTTTTCTCAGCTTTTATCTTTATATAATTAGTAAAATACTTGGAAATATTTGTTCAGATTTCTGGAGCTTGAAGCACATGTACAGAAGCAATACTCAAACAATTTTTCTTTGTTTTGGAATCACACAGAAAGGTAAATATTTTGATGACACATGGGCTGAATTTTCAGTTTAGCACATGGGAGAAATCAGAACTTACCACGTTCTTCAGCGATTCTCTCTAAAAAAAAAAGGCAAAGGATTATTAATATTTGAAATGCCAGGTAAGTTGTTCCTAGACTTTTTCTCAATATGATTTGTTTTTTTTTTTTTTTTGGTTTTTCTCCGGTACCGGGAATCGAACTCACGACCTTGCGCTTGCCAGGCAGGCGCTTTTGCCGCTGAGCTAAATCCCCAGCCCCCCTCAATATGATTTGTAAACTATTTGGGAAGATTTGTTTAGCTTTCTGGAGTTAGAAGGAGAAGGACAGAAAGGGTCTTTGCAGAAAGTTTCATTTGTTCTGCAACTGATGGAGACCACTAGGAAGCAGCTCTGAGCAGGACGTAAATTAACCAATTGACTTTCCATGTTTTGACTCCTTGTCTGGAGACGGTGGACTCACAGTAAGTGAACCTCTGTCAGTCACTGGTCTCTGCTGAGGCCTGTAATGGTGGGTGAAGCCCCAAAGATTCAATGGGTAAGAATAGATCACAGCTAAGGACTACTGACTCCAGCCTCAACTAGATAAAGCCTGTAGCCTCAGGGATCTCTTTCCTGGGTGGGTTAATTCAATACCTTATTTGGAGAAGTCGTGAGTGGTTCTGCCCTTGAGTAGTCCCCTCCCTTCTTCAGATTACTAAATAAATACAATCGGGACCACCCAGAGAAGGTCCTGGTCTTAGCCCTGAGAGAATCTAAAATTCTGTGAGAGGGCTTTGATCCTCATGGAGCCCTGGAATCATTCCATTTGCCTCTTTTTATTTAGCCTTCACCATACACTTTTTTGGGAGATTGCAGACCTGATCAGCCCACAATAACTAAGGGATATTATTAATGCAAAACACAATCACACTGAGAAATAAATATTCTCATTATATGCTCACTAAATTTTAAATTTAACACAGGAGAAAAACAGAACTTACCATGTTCTTTAGTGATTCTCTCTAAAATTCCCTCTAAGAAAAAGAAAGGGAGAAAGGGATATTAACTTTTGAAATGCCAAGAAAGTTGGTCCTAGCCTTTACCTTCATATAATTTGTAAAATATTTGGAAATATTTTTTCCAACATTTTGGAAAAATTTTGGAAGGGGGATCATAGTAAGTGAACCATATTATGGAGTTAGAATCAGAATGACAAAATGGGCCAGCTGTCTTCAATTTCCACATTTGACACCACTGAATTAGTTAAGAATCTGACCACCATTATTTGAGGCCTACAGCTGTCACAAGCAGCTTGTCATTGCTAACTTATTACTCCATTAGTTCAGTTTATATCTTCACCACATTCCTGAGTTAGCTGTAAATGTTTCCTATCTGCTCAGCAAATTCGTACTGAGGTCCAGCTCTAGCCAGGTGCTGCTGCACACAGGGCCCTCACGATGGGTCAGGTGCAGTCTCTCCTCCCACAGGGCGACCTCTTCAGTCTGTCAGTACAGCCCAGTGCTGGGAGCAATGTGAAATGTAGACCAGAAAGGGGCCTTGGCCATCTTGGAGAAGGATTTTTAGGTTTTTTGCATTACAGATATTATAGACTTTTGTTTAGAGGTCAAGTTTTACAAAATATTGTGTCTTAAAAGAGATGTGTTTGTATACTTGCAAAAATTAGAAGAAAAAAATATTTCATTAGTTCCTATTGCCTACATAGAACCACTTGAAATCCTTACATATATATCCAGCATATTTTTATTTCACAAGAAAATTATTGTACAAAAATGCTATGTTATTATTTGTCACTTTCACTGTAATTCTAAATACTTAAAATTAAAATGTATAAATAAGGATCAGTATACTTTGAAAGTATTATTGTATAGCTAAATGATATTTGGTTTTATTAGTAGTGTACATTGAGCTAGCTGTTTCTTGGCACTTATGTAACAACGTTTTCTCTTATTATAATAAAACAAAGAAATTTAAAATTTTTCCTCTGGTAAAAAAATAAACACATATATAAAGTGACCTTGTTAGTCAACAAAAGTAGAGAGTTAAATAGTCCCTGAATATAACAATCAAAGACAAAGCAATAAGTTAAAAACAGAATGAAGCATAGACCCATGTTCTTGGTCCAATGTCACACAAGATTTGGTCCCAGTATAAGTGGGCTGTGACCTGCAAGAGATCATTACTGGAGGAGAATTAATAGAAGACTGGATCTGGGAGGTGACAATACATTGGATCTCCTGTCAGGGAGTGGACAGTGTCCCAGGATGCCCAGACCAGAACAGGGCCACTCTCTCTGCCTTCCTCACACCTCCCCTCCTACTCCACCTTGGGTTTCCTGCCAGGCCCTGACTCCAGCCTCAATGAAGCACTAGGATATTTTGTCTCCTCTCTTCACCATCTCCATTAGAGTGTTGTTCCCTCAGCAAACTCTAATTCACAAGTCCGTGGACTCCATGGTGCAGTCACGTCACAGCCCAGGCCATGTGATCATGGTGCTGCCCTCTCTCCACTCAGAACCTGCAGTGCTCTGCACCACTTCCAAGAAAATAAGAAAACCCTGAATGTGGCTGCAGCGCTCCTCACAGTCTGCCCTCTGTCTGCCTCTCCACCCTCTCTCTCCTGCTAGTTCTTCCCTATCTTTCATGTTTAATATTTGCTACTTTTCAGTATCAGATATAGGAGAGAGGATGACTGAAACTTACACATATCATAATTATAAAGTACAGTTTCTCTTACATGGGATTCCTTTGACATATTAAAATAAAAGTATGTGGATAGTGAAATATATTTTCCTTATTAAAAATTATTTCATATGACTTACTAATTTAAAAATACTTAAATGAGTTCCTTGTCATTGCTCTGGCATGATTCTATGGTGAATTTCAAATATCCATTTCTCAAAAGTAGTATTAATTCAATTCTAGGCAAAAGACTTTAGCAGGATTATTGGAAATGTCAACATAGCATTGCAGAGGTTTTCATATTGGGATTAAAGAGGCCAATGATGAATTTAGTGTGGATGGATTTATGTTGGGTAGGCTGATTCACAGCCTGATTATATTTAATGAATTGTTTGTCTATGGGAAAAGAGTTATTCAGATGGAAAACATGAAACAGTGTGATTTAAAAGTTAGACAAGAAAGGCAAGGTTACAAACATCATCATACTTGCAGCCAGGTCAATACTCACAATTTTTCTCAGTCTGCAGTGGCAGAGGTGATACATAAACTCTCTGACACCTTTTTGATGGTGCTTTTTCTTAATTTAGTGTTTAAGATACTCTGCACAAGGCTGTGTGAGCCTGGAGAAGCTCAGCTTTGGGAGAGCTGAGAGAGAGCAGGACGTGGGCAGCAGCTTCCTCACCCCAGAGGGAGCAGCCTCACCAGGAGCAGCTCGGGGCTGCAGCTCAAGGCCTTCAGCTGCTGGGCTCAGGAGAACACGGGGTAGCCTGGGGATGGTTGCTTGGGTAAGCAGGACACAGCTCTCTGCAGGGCCTGGAGCCTTGGTGGGGACACTGTAAGGAGAAACGGTCCTGGGCCCCTTGAAACAGGGCAGGGGCAGCTCTCTGATGTGCAGACCAAGGGGAGAGACACTTTGGAATCTGCACTCTATGAAAATTCATCTTAGAGGAAAATGTAGAATTTAAAGAGCAAATTGACCTCATTCCATTGACTATAGTGAAAGAATCCTGGGCCACATAACTGGAGTTTGATGCTGAGTTGTCATTGTTTTGGACACTGGGCTGTGATGGAAACAGGAAGACCTGTCATCCCCACAGGCTCACAGCGTTAGCCCCGAGCGTTTCCTGGGCAAAGACAGCTTATCAAACTCATGATCTTATCTAGGGATTTCTCATTCTACCAGCAGAAACAATTAGGAGGGGCCTGGAATACAGCTCAGCAGCACAGTGCCTTCCTGGAAAGCACAAGGTCCTGAGTTGGTATCAAGTACCAAAAAACAAACAAAAAAGAAATTAGGAGATACCTTTGAACACAGAGTTTTAATTTGACTAAAATAAATATCTTGTTGCTAAACATGTATAAGTTAGTGATTTATAGCCATGTGAAACCGGTAATGTTATAACATTAAATTTAGACTTAAGTACAAACTGGTTGAGTCCTTTTAATTTCAAAAACCTTTTGGAGGAAAATGTTCATTCTGATGATAATCTGCTTAGAATATGATTTCAGTGAGTAAATTTATTCTTTTATGAAATAAACTGAATAAATGAATCCTAAGTAGATATCATAGATAAATTTCAATTTTAATGTATAGATCCAGATGTAGGTAGAAAAGTGTCTCTTTTCCAGGATCACTAGCTGCACAATTACTACCAAAAATTCAGATCCTGCATCTGAGTCATGGTGCTTAGATGTGTTACCATTCAATCCCAAGTGTAACCTTGTATCATAAACACCAGCATCATGACCACGTTAGAAGTCAGATATATATTCCACCAGGTTAATGTCTTCATGTCTTTTGAAAGATCACCGAAGTTACTAAGGATCAAATGTCAGATCTGCACTGTCCGTCTGGAGCAGGTTGTCCTCAGATCTCATATTTGTCTTCATATCTTGAAAATAAGGAAAATATCACTCACGTTGCTCCACCTTGAGAGAAGCTAGTGACTGCCTGACTGAGTGAACGTGAAAGAGAACCACATACATCACAGAGGATCTCTCTCTCTCACTCAAACTGTTCTCATTAGAAGCACTAAATAAACAGCACCTAATTGATACGATTAATAAATTCACTTTATAACTGTGGAGGCCAGTAACAAAATAATGCATAATTACACATGAATGGAGTATTAGACTGATTTATTCATTTCACCAAATGTCCCACTCTGAGTGAAATTCTGCTAATTCTTTCTGAAAATTTTACTACTTACTAGGGAATCTGTTTTCCAGCTTCGAGAGAGATAACCATGGAGCCGGCTGAAACTTTGAAGCCTGGGCATTTTCTTTGAAATAGATCAAAACTGTTTTAATGGTGATATGATGCTACATTTTCTAGCATATGTCTAATTTTGTTACTCAATCACCTGGCTCGTGTGTTTTTCCTCTGATGGAACCATGGCTCAGCTGCACAAGTGCCGGCTTGACAAGCATAAGGTGCTGAATTTGATTCCTGGCACCCAAAAAGAAGCATAAAATGCACATGTATCTTGGGATATCAGTTATCTCTCTTGTTCAGTTCACCATAAACCATGGAGTGGGCAGTCAGTTATTTCATGAACAAAAACACACTGGTCATTGTCCAATAGGATGTGCAACCCCCCGACTCCCAGCCCTCACGTGGTTCAAACAGTGTGGCTTATTTTTCTCTATATGACTAACAACCGTCCTCATGCTATCAGTACAGTTATTCTGTAAAAATTAGCAGGGAGATATTTCAGTTGTCTGGCATTCAATTTTATGTGAATTTCATTTATCTTACATCTGTAAAAGTGCATAAGTTGTGGGTTGTTATTCAATTTCAGAGATTCAAACATTACCTCTCACGTATCCTATACTCTGCTGCTGCTTTACCAAAGTATGTGACCCAACTTTTTCCTCTCCCTACCTACAATACACTCATCTCATCCCATAACTTATGCCCTTTGACAGGAGGGACCTTTAACCCAAGACTTGATAGCTCAGCAGTGGAGGACACAGAGATGGACTGCTGTTCCCTAAGCTAAGCAATTAGAACTCAACGTAAAAAATACATTGTGTGTATGACTGTGCTCGTGGGAAATTTTGAATATAAAGTCGGGTCTCCTCATTTTTTCTTTTAATTTTGGGAGTGATCATTCCCATATTTGGGAAATTGGTGAGTAGTAAATACTAATCAATGCAATCTTCTCAGAACATTCAAATGGTTCTGCTGAGATAGGGTTGAGGATTCTCAGTTCATCACCACGCACTCAGGGGCAGGGGTAACAAATGCCCAGCAGAATCTGGAATAACTGACAAAGGTAGGAGTCAGGGCACAGAAGGGGTGTTAATCTATCTCAGGCCAGAAGAGAGTGTGTCTTAGATGTTCAAATCACAGTATCAGGTTTTTAAATTTTCTCTGGACTAAAAATGTAATCTATATCTTTTAGTGTCTTCAAAATAATCAAGCAGATTTCTGATCATCACCTTAGAGTATTTCAAAACTGCACACAGTTCAGCAGGGTTGAGCCCCATATTAATCTGAGCCTGATGCTTATTCAATCCCAGGATGACAGAAGCCTGGCAGCAGAATAAGGACCAATGGGGTTCCCACGTCCTTGTCACTCGATCTTCCTAAATAACTGATCTCTTTATGTGTTCTGGAAGCAAGTGAAGGAAAATAACTTAAAAGAACTAACTTTAAAGTATCTTAACTAAAGAATAATCCCACATATTTCCTGGATTGTGTAATTGATATAGCAAATATCTTGCCAAAAACCCCTCTCACTAAATAAGTATTTGACTAAGCACAACTATACCCCTCCTAGCTATACACGCTTTAGCATCGGTTCATAGACTGTTCAGAACTGGTTCTCTGCAGTGAGCACCCTTCCATCCACCTCTGCTAACTCTTCTCACCTCCCATGAGGTTGCTAAAGTGGAGCAGGTGGGGCCTTCAGAGAGGAAACACAATAACTTCACATACATGAGTGCAAAATCATGGTAAGTTTCAGCTGCTCGTGGTCTGCCATTGATTGTCCTTTCTCATGTAGGCCACCTCGTGGGGGCTGGTTCTTGTGGTCTCTCTTAGGACCCTCACTGCCCCCCTTTCTCCTGAGGTCAGGTGGCCTCTGGCTGCTGTCCATGGAGGCTCTATCGAGTGGCTCTGGCCACAGCTGCTCACCTGGACACAGCTCTCCCACAGGAGGCAGCAAATCTGAGATTCAGGTCAACATGACGTCATGTCAAATAAAGATTAATTATAAGACATGAGGGATATTGTGAAAATTAGGTATCCTATGACACTTGTCCCATAATCCATGAAAAAAACCCGAATTTAAATTTCTAAAGAAAGAAAAATAAATAAATAAGAACCACATTGCTATTTAACTGCTATTTGTACACCTGCCAGCCTGAGCGAGACACTGAGCTGAACACTGAGCAGCCTCTGGTAGCGGCAGTGAAGAGCACCTGGCCCTGCTCTGGAGCTTCATGCCGTGTAACCAGGAGGGACACATGGTTGTGGGTCTGGGGTCACACGGAACCCTCTAGGATGAGGGTCATCTGGGCCCTGTGGGGGAAGCAGGGTCAATCCAGAAAGAATCAGGAGAACAGGGACTGCCAAGAGGGAAAACACTGAAAAATCCCTGATTAGAGCCAAGAATGTGAAAATCAAAGAATTCTTCCTCCTCAGGGTTCTCCTGTTGAATATTAAGTAAACAGGATTTTCTAAGACAACTGATATATATGCCTATGCTCCCATGATCCCTCCATGAATTAATGAATCCACACTGTTTCATCCTTTACCGTGGGCTCTTCGAGATCTCAGGAGAAGAAAACCAGCGATGATCAAGCTGAAGGCCAGGAGCACAGCCAGGGCCACTGTCCAGGCACTGACCCGGGGGAACAAGGCCTCTGAAAGACAGGAAGTAGCTGCTGAGACCCAGCTGGACACCGGCTGACTTGGCTGCTGGGCTCGAGTCATCAGACGGTTTCTCCAGGGAGAGAGCAGAGCAGAGACATTGAGCCTCAGCCCCACTGTGAATCTCAGGAACTCAGGACCTGAGGGTCTCCTGTGCCCTTGCCTCACTGATGTGATCCTCCTGAGATCCAGGAGGCCCTAAGTAATTTGTAAGCTATGGCAATAAGTGGAATATAGAAACTAGTGCAACAGATATTCATGCATCTACCACCCAGACCGAATCCCATATTTACACATGGGACGTGCAGAAGTGTTCATGAATACAAGCGCACTGAGTGCAGAGAGACTCTTCCCCTCACTCTTCAAGGGAACTTGCCCCGGTCCTCTCTGTCCAGTTCTTCCCACCTGTCCATAGCTGCGAGCCCAGCCTTATGTGAGGACACAGGTGGGGACGCGCTACAGTTGAGCTGGAAACGCTCTACAATTAAAGCGAGGATGTGGACTGGGGTCAGAGGATAAAACACTCAGATGTCAAGTCTACACCTGAAAGCCAACCCGAGGTCATAACAAGGATTCATCTGAAGGGTGTGACTGTCAGTAGCTTAAATTTGGAGAAGGATGATGATGGAGGGTTATATCTATGATCGTATGAGCTCAGAATAGAAATAAGAACATTCTCCTTCAAGAACTATCTTCACTCTATAATTTAAAAACATGATTACATGGTAATGAGCTAATCAGATAATTGCTCTTCAATTCCTTATGCAAATGGTTCAAATTATATAAATATGAAGACACATTCTTTATCTACATTGTGCTCTACCCTACAGGTTTCAGGGCTCTTCTGCACTAGGATTAAATACAATTATATCTCTTAGCTCCAACTCTTTATTACTTCAAAAATATCCTGCAATGCCCTATTGGCGTGAAAGTCTAACTCCAACATGTGGGCTACTGCATCACCTCAGATTTTGTTTTTCTAAGGTTCTCATCAGAAACTTACCCCTCTGATGCATAGTTTTATTTTTACAATCCAAACATCAGAAGCTCTCACTTTAATTACCTTTGATGTGTGTAAGTTACCAAACTAAACAATAAACAGGACTTTCTTTACTAGTTCCTTCAGTCATTAATCTCTATATCAAATTGGCATTATATATTTGGCACCAATTAATGTACTAATTAGTGGAGATACGTAAGAATTAGAACACAATATCTGGAACAGTTTATACTTCACTTAGGGAAACAGAAAACTATAATTCAGAATAAACGGGAACATGGAGAGGTGCTTAGTGCAGGTTTAGGTGGGCGTGGCTCCTGCAAAAGGCGCAAGTGTCAAGGATCCGTGGGAAACTGCTCCTGGGAGAAGACAGAAGAAGCCCAGCAGTCAGTGCTGTGGGTGTCCGTTCTGTGTAGGGTCGGGTGGAGAAAAGGACAGAAAGGGGCAAAAGCTGAGGCTGGGGAGAGGACAAATGCACAGGGAGTGCGCAGCGAGTCCACGGGCTCCGCAGTTCCTCCGAGACTGAGGAGAGCAGTCACGGAAGCTGCGGGGAGCATCGGAGCCACACGGGACTCCTGGGAGCGGTCACTGCGGACGGAGCACAGCGCAGACTGCGGCGTGCAGCTCTTCTCCGCCCTCGGATGCCGGACGTGAGTCACTGCTCACGACGGTCTGATGACACAGACAGCGGGGTTATTGCTGTTTAACAGGGGACTGGACAGACAGTGGCCAGTACTTGTCCAGTGTCACAGGGCCAGCAGAGGGCAGTGCAGGACTTCAACTCAGTGTGACACAAGGAAGAATAAATTCCATATTGTTATGTTAGAGTCTCCCTTGTAAATGTTATTTGACAAGTTTGGAATGACTTTTGACATATTCTTTAAATGCTCTGCTGCACATAAATGTTTCCTTAATCTATGACATCATTTATTCTGAAGTGAAATAATACTTCACTGTACAAAAAATAATAATAAATAGCAAAGCAGGCATATTTACCTGACTTTCCAAATAAGAGTTGGAAATGGATGAGCTGGACCACTCTTCCAGTCTTTCCATCAGGGCCATCGCTAGTCCACCTCCCGCCCCAGCACTGACATCACAGAATTCAGGCTCTGTGGAACTCACTGGCCACTGAGAGACGCGACTCCTTCTCCTCTCTGAGCACAGCGTTCCTGATGGAACAGGACACATCTGCTCTTGAGCTTTCCTCCACTGTGACGGAGCTTTCCACGTGGATCAGGCCATCATCCTGTACAGAATTCCTCACAGAGCCAGGTGACAGAGGCCGTCCTCGTGGGTCTCTCCACTGGAGCTCAGGGTCTGGGTACCACCCCGAGGATGAGCAGGTCATCTTAATGCTCCCGGTGTACGCAGGCTGAATGTGGATGTGAGGAGGGGCACCTGAGGCTGGAGGATTCACGAGAGGGAAAATAATGCACCTCTTTGAGTTTACAGACATGTCAGATGGGCCAGTCAGCTGGGGCTTACTAATGAACCTCTCTGTGAATCTCAACTCTGTGTTTCTGAAAACTGGGTTACAGAGATGCTGGAAATAAAGTATTTCCCCACACAATGCCTTAAATAAATGAAATTAACTACACCAGCACTTAGCAAAATATGCAATACCAAGCAGTCCTGTCTCTTTTATTTCTTTTTCCTGCATCCCCTCAGAAGTGTTATTTAGCCTTCCACCTGATGACTCCTAAGGTGGGTGCTGAAATACTCTGTCCCTCCAGTTGGAGCTGAGAGCTGCAGATCACACAGCATCCCGCGGTTTTCTGTGTAAAATACACTTGATCTCACAGCATTCACTTAGCTCTTCTTGACTTGCCTGACAACTGCCCACAGAAACCTGTGATGTGGGGATGGTCCTGTCACCGTGGTCCATCAGACACCAGCAATGTGTGCGTGTGGGTCACATGAAACATGGATGAAGAAACAAAAAACTGTTCCACTTTACATGGTATAAATTCATTTTAAATGTTCAGAACAGCACACCGCTAGAACACCACGTTGAGGAGGCACATTTAAACGCATGTCCTGGCTGTGTGCACACCTGCCAGCTAAGCACTGCACAGCCCCAGGGCCCTTGTACTTAGGACCGGACTTAAGATGTTTATGGAAGAGATGCACTGCCCTTGCCCTGAGCTTCCTTTATCCAGTGAACATGAGAGGAAGACAGTGAGTCATCCTGTCTGGATTCACTTTCCTCTCCAGAGCTGGCTCAGGGTCCTCCTCAAAGTGGACAGGACGGCTTCACTGAGCGGGGCTGGAGCCTTGGAATGAACGATGTGGAGACCTCACAGTGTGCACCCACTCTCCCACCCCAGGCTCCTTGCTTCTTGCTCCTCACAGCAGCCCTGGGTCAGGACGAAGCCCAGCATGCAGCAGGGCGGTGCACACAGCAGATGCCTCACCTGCTCCCGTGCTGTGTCTGTCCACAGGACTGGTCTCGGGTAAGGAGGTGGGGAGAGGAAAATGCAGCCAGGAGCAAGAGGGGAAGCTGCAGCGCTGAGCTCTGGAGGAGAGCAGCCCTGCTGAGGGCAGCACAGCGTCTCCTCGAAGGGAAACAGTGAGGAGCGGGCAGGGAGGGGCTCTGGGCTCCTGCAGAGACCGCATTTCCAGGGGGAACAGATTCCTGACCTGGGCCTCACTGCGCTCCTCCAGGAGGACAGGGCAGACTAAAGAAATGAGGGCCAGCGGTCACACAGCTAAGACAGCACAGCTCCTGAGAGGGTCCACGAGGTTCAGCTCTGGACAATGAACCCTGGGGGTTCAGGTGTCCACTGAGATGTGTGCACTTGGAGGAGGAAGATTGGATGAGCATGGGACATCATTTTCTACTGTATCATAAGAGAAAAGGTAAAACAAAAACTAAATATTTCTCACATCATTAAAAACAGAAACAATTTCCTGGAGGATATAGAAAGAAGATACTAGTGAATTTAAGCATCAATCTTTTTTAAGGAAAAACATTTGGATTCTGCAGAACATATTTGTGATTGCTTATTATTTCAATTTTGAATCTCAAGGACACAGTACAAAAATCTATAAATGCAAATGTAGTATCTAGCTATAGGGCACTAAATCAGAATAGAGTATGATCTAGAATTGCAAGTAACTTTTTTTCTGAGCACTCCACAAGAGCCTGAAACATAACTTGATCATCAAGGGGATAATCAAGGGATGTCTGATAATAAGAGTAATCCTTGATGCCGAATGTCACATGATCTCAACTCAGGTCATGGTGCCCCTCTCTCTCTCTCTCTTTCTTTTTCTCCCTCTCTTCCTGGGATTGCGAGTGATCATAATCTAGAGGATATAGAGGACATCTTGTCTGTAGAGAAGGAGGGAAAAAAGGCAGAGAAATCCCTTACTTCAAAAGAGATTAGGGAGATGTGTGAAATGCAGGAAACAGTGAATACTTTTGTAGAAAAGCAACACCAGAATAAGGCTGAAGCAGTATGAGCAATGAATCTGTTGAATGAAAATATAATGTCACATTTCAACACAATGCTCAAAAGGAGGCAAAAGCAAAGGCTAGTGGACAGGTTTCTTATTAAAGTTGCATAAAAGGAAGAGATTCCTTTGAGTCAACAGAAAACAATGATTCCACTAATGACAGTGAAAGTCATCCTGTGTGATGACCCTTATCTCTCTTGTATCTCTCACACCAGACATGAAGTATTTCAAAGGTAAAGGCAGGTGAATTTCTTCATTTTTTTTCTTTATATTTTGTATTTTCCTTATTTTTTGAATTACACTGCAGTGGTGGAATCATTTTTATAGCAATATTTTTGGGTTATGGATTAAATCATCTAGGTTTCCATTATTTTTTAAGCAGAAATTTGCTTTGATATACTAGTGCCCTGGATTACGAGCTTGTCTCTGGAACACATTACGCTTGCAAACTAAGGTTTCACTGTATCTCACTGCTCATGGAGCATGAGAAAACCAACTGAACCTCTTAGACATGCTGAGTTTGCTCAGGATTCATAAAGAAGTGAGTGGGATTATGGCTCATTGCATTGGGTCGATGTGAAAAATGGAAATTAGGAAGCTTGACACTGCCCACGCGGTAATGTAAATTTCTGCTGTGGCTGATGTGCTTAGGTTGAACCCACAACTACCTCTGTCTTACTCCTTTCTAGAACTCAGGGAGGTGATGCCTCTGAAAAACTCTCCTGGTGGACCCATGAGATCCAAGCAGAGGTTTCAGCTGATGGTCAGGGAAACATTGCTGGTGTCCAAACAAACTCCTGGGCAGGCAGGACAGCTGGTGCCCAACCAGGAGCTTCAGGATGGAAAGTGTGCTGCTGAGTGTGTTGGAATAAAGTGGGGCCCAGGAGAATCTGATTTTTACACGGTGTGGAATCCCTCTATGCCAGAAGAGAAGTCTTGGGACAGAGCAAGTTAGGTTGCTCTGGAGGAATGCGGAATGCTCTAGGAGACACAGTGGAGGAGCTGGCACTCAGATTCAAAGCCCTCATAATGAGTTCTTTTTCATTGACATAAGTAAAGCTTTATTGGATATAGTTGCACAAATTCTAGAAAATGATTGCAGAGCCTCTAGGAATGGATGTGTCGGGGTCTCCCCAGGTGTCCCCACAGAAGAGTAAAGATCTCACCAGGAGGTGAGACTTGGTGAAAGAGGAGCAAAGTCAGGTTCAGCCAGCCCTGTAGTCGCCTGGGCAAGTGCGTCTAGCAGGCACTTCTCTTTGTATGCACTGAGCACCTACAGGGCAGAGTCCAGTTCACCTGCTGGAAGATGAAGGCTTCCTAAGCCAGACAGGGGCTGCCCTGTGCCCCAGGACCACAGAGACTGTGTAGAGAGAGGTACTGTAATGCTTGATGGATTGTATCAACTAGAGAAGTTTAGGAGCTTAACTAAATCTGTTCAGCAGTTCTTTACCCAAGAGTATGCTTAGGACCTACCCTAAGGCAGCCTGTAATTTTGAGGGCACAAAGGGAAAATGAGGAAGGGTGGACTATTTCTTAACTTCAGAGAAGCTGCAGTCTTCATCCTAGGGTTGGCTGTCACCATCTAACTTCTAGTGCAGACTCTTCAGCTTCCAGCTCAGATCTTTCCTTCAGGAGTAGCCTCTTACCCTGCTGGTGTAGCACTTTCACCTCCTGATATGGACTTGAGGAGACACTGTAGTTAACTCCAGACCTTGGACTGAACCCTTTAATTTCCAGCATGCAGATTCCCTCTGCTCATCCAACCCTGTGGCAGACCATCATAAGCCAATCGTCTAATTTCTTATATAATTGCATATCTTGTGTTATGTATGTGTTTCTCTAGTTAAATACTGACTGATACGAGCATGAAGGTTCTGATTTGCAGAAATTCAACCAAAAGTTTTCTGTATAAAACTTGCCAGCAATTCTCTTTTCTGGAGACTCCTAAAATGTGTAAAAATTATGGGACATGTTGATTTTTAGGTAACTGTGAGACAAAGGTCACTTGGGTCCTGGCCAGAAATGCCAAGATGCACAGATTATTGTTCCAGAAGCATTTATCTTCCAGAGATTGTCACAGATGGAAGCACACAAGACAAACAAAGTTTGGTGGACTTGCAGATCAAGCTCTTCATGCATCTTGAAGTTCAGTGCTTTACATACTTAGTGATGGTTTAGTTGGTTTCTGCTAAGGCCCACTGAAAGAAGACAAAGAGGAGCCCATCCTTGAGCTCAGCAAATGGCCCTAAGACATCTATAAGGCGACATGATTCAGGTTCAGGTCATGGCTGAACTACAAACCCTCCTTTACCCTTCCATCTGCTCAGGACAGGCTTTTCCCTGCTATCAATATCTGGGAGCATGGGGAAGTCACAGTGTAAGCTGCTGCAGAGAGCTGAGTCCACAGGGTGCTAGAGAAAGAGTGGTCAACATACGTGATAAGAACAAGCACAGCCGGGATGGAAGGAAATGAGATGTAGAAACCCAGAGTTTGAGAGTGGGCTGCCCAGTCCTTCCTTCCTTGTGTGCACTTGCTTCTGGGTCTAGCAAGTGAGCAGGAAATCCCTGGACTGAGGTGTGTTCTGAGACTCTTGGCGTGAGAACACACTGGATTGCATGACCAAACCTACTCTTCAGCAATTATATTGGCAAAGAAAAATGATAGGAATCTTTTTCCATTAAAGAATTACTCCATAAAGACTAACTAGGTAAATTTGAACTCTAACACGTGCTATTCCATTATACTGTTTGTACAGAAACAACCACATTTTCTACACATAAAGATGAGTTTTGATTGGACAAAAAATACAAATTCAGCGTTTTCAGAGCTCACCTGCGACACGCAGCTCAAACTGTGCTTGGCTGAGCTGTGTGGATCTTACAAAGACACAGCTGTACTGCCCTTCATCTGCAGGGAGGACGGGATGGATCCTCAGGGCCACCTGGCCTTGGGTGATGTTCTCCCTCAGGAGCTCTGTCCTCCCTTGGTACTGGAGACTCTGCTGCTCCGTGTGGTCCTGAGAATCCCTGTACTCGTGCACCAGTGCTGATTGGTGGTCTCGGTACCATCTGATCTCCATGTTCTGAGCATCCGTGGGTGGGCTGAGGTGGCAGGGAAGCACAGCCTCTTCTCTGACCTGGGCAGTGACTGGAGACCTTGGTCCCTTCACTTGGAACTGCCCTGGAGGTGATTAAGAAGAGGACACAGTCATTGCTGAGAGCATGGCAGGCAAGGTGGTGGCTTTCTGATGAAAGAAGAATGACACCAGTTCAGCTCACTTGATGAGTTTGGACAATTGATGAACAGATTAAAATAGGAGGTATAGGTTCACATTTAGTCTAAGAGATCACCGAGCATAAGGTTAAATATGCAATATTTACAAGGATCTTAAGCTTTTTTCCAGTTTGCTTAAGGTTGTAAATTAAATTAATATGAAGCAGTGTGTTTAATTTTTATCGCCCTAAGTGTTTGAAAGCATTATTATTTTACAGATGAAGAATTTCAGTCAGTGGATGCTTTAACACCTTACCACCTAATATGTAATCATGGGGCATAAAATGAATATTTCAAATAGTGTCAAACATTTTATTGCTTAAAAGTATATATTACTCATATAATGAGTCATATAATCATATAAACCAACTATATGTGATAAGATTAAAGTTAATGTTTTTCTAAGCAAAAAGTAGAAAGACATTCAGTATTCTCATTTTAGAAAATTAATATATGTATCACCATCAGAATGTTCAGACCTGTGGTCTATTCCCTATTCTGAACAATGGATTCTACACCATCACTAAGGCACTGTCCACATGGGCCTGGTACTTATTCCTCCCACCCCATGGGACAGTAGAAATTCAAGTCAAATATCAGACCTGTCCTGAATAAGGCAAAAGTCTGGAGTAGAAGATTCAACGTGAATGACTAGAGGAAAGGTCACATCAAGAAGCTGAGAGATCTACTGAGAAGGAATGAGGTGGAAGATCCAACACAGTTGAGTAGAGGTGGAACCACATTGGAGAGACTCAGAAATTACCAACAAGAAACACATAGGAAAGAGGACAAGATGGCGGAGCAGTGAGTTCCAGCAACTCTGCTTCTCCAGGAATGGGGATCTGAAGTCTGGAGTTGACAACAGCAGGAAGAACAGGAGTCTCTGTCCTGAGTGACCTTCAGTGGTACCAGTGGTGAGTATCTGCCTTACAAATGCCGTAGGACACAGCCCTGCAATTTAGGCCTGGAAAGGAAGACACTGTGGGAAAGGGCTGGGAGTTTAAACTTCAACCCCAGAGCAGCCCCCACGGGGATTTCATTGTGACAAGGTCCCAGGGTTGAGGTGGAAAAATTAGTAACTGGAGATGCTGGCAGTTGGAGAGCAAATTTTGGTGACTCCCACTAAAGAGCAGAGACTGGAGATCACAGTCCTGGCTCCTTCAATAAAGCTCCATATTTAGCCTGACTTAATCAGAATTGGAGGCTCACAAGGTACCATTTTCCCACTGCTAAAAGGAAACCCACAACAGGGGCTTGTGCTGTGTTACTTCTCAGCCAGCCTTGATAGACACCACTGAAAAGGACTAGCCTCTTATTGCTGCAGTTGAGTTGACTGCACAGCAATCATCCTGACTCACTGGACAATTTAATGTCTGGGAACTTGTCTGGAAATCCAACATCACAGGGAGAGGGACAGAGGGAGCCCCTTACCCAAGAACTCGGGCTGGATCAGACTCTGCATAAATGCCTGCATCCTGGCAGAAAGAGGCCCTGAGTCATGTTAACTCCGGCTGTGCAGTGGAGGGGCACAGGTGTAACTGGGTGTGAACACTCAGACTACAATCAGGCAAAGAAGCTACTTGGGAATCTCATAAACAATGGCTCATTGGAGTATCTCATCTGTGTTCCCATCAGACATCTTGTTGGGTTAAGTTTTTTTATGTCTCATAGCATTCATCCATTTCAGAAATAAGCAATATGAAGACAGAGTATCTGTTAATGAGGACAAAATACTGAATTATGATAAAAAGCCCAAAAGGGGCAAAAAAGAAAATAAGAGAAGATAAGCCTATTCAGCAAGTACTAGATGACAAAAACAATGTAAAGCTATTGGAGTTATTTAGTAATGTTATGTTCTTTTATGGTTTCGTGAGTATATTACATGGCTACTCTCATATATTTGCTCTTTCATTGGCTCTGATTTAATGCTTGTGTAGGTTCTGTTCCTTGTCTAGAGAAGAGACAAAGAAAGGGAGAGTAACTGCAAGGACTATCATATAGAAATGTTGTGAGACTGAATCTGCAGATGTTGTTATAAATTGAAGCAATTCTTGTAGCAAAACAGAGGGACAGATTCAAAGTCACTTAAAGTATATAACAGAAATAATAAGTACTAGAAGTGGACATACAAAGCTAAAAATTATTCCTGGGGAAAAAATATCCTCCAAAAAACTCCATATAAGAACACATTGTCTTTACTTTTCTAGTAACCCCTGCCCCAAAAATGGGAGAAGAAAAAAGAGGGGGAATGCATATAATTAAATATATATAACCCATATGTATAATCACATAAATACAGTTACAAATAAAAGAATGGGGGAATAGGAAAATAGAAAATCTCCTAATCCTCCTGCAGCTCCCCCAAGGCAGGGCAAGGGATCACAAAGGGAGAAGAAAACAATTACTTAACAGCAGAAATCTGTGAAAAGTTCTTAGAAGAATGAATAAAGTAGATGAGATCAAACAGGAAATGAATTAAAAGTTTACAGCAAGGGGCTGGGGATTTAGCTCAGCGGCAAAAGCGCCTGCCTGGCAAGCGCAAGGTCGTGAGTTTGGTTCCCGGTACCGGAGAAAAACCAAAAAAAAAAAAAAGTTTACAGCAAATACACTTAATATGCCTACAGTGAAATTGGGGAAATAACTAAACATGGACTAGGTAACCAAGACAGTTCAAAATCTGAATGACAGTTTCAACAAGGACATGGACTTCTCAAACAGATATAGGAAAGCAATACCTTAAAAAAAAAACAGGATAGCACTCATCCATTCCAGAAATGACTAATGTGAAGACAGAGTGCCTGATATTGAGGACAAAATAGTGAATTATGATAAATAGCCCCAAAAAGCCAAAATAAAATAAGAGAACAAGAGAAGCCTATCCAGAAAGTACTAGATGACAAAAATGAGAACAATTTAAGGCTAACAGGAGTTAGAGAAAAATCTAGAAGATTGCACATATGTATTTACCAACATAGTTATATAAATTAGGGAAGAAAATTTACCATATATAAGAAGAGATTTTAAAATACAAGTAAGGAATGCTAATAGAATGCCAAATAATGGGAGTTGAATTATGATCAAAGGAAGTTTACTAAGGCATGTTCTTGCTAAATTCACAGATACCCAGCAAAAACCACAATTTTAAAGGCAGCTAGAGATAAACAAAAAATTACCAGTTAGACTCACAGAACACTTTTCACAAAACCTGAAGACCTGACAAGGTTGACACAAGTATTTCAAGCCCTAAGAGCAAATAATTTCCAATGCAGATTAATTTACCCAGCAAATCTATAGTTCAAATTAGATGAAGAACTACAGTATTTCCATGAGAAAGACAGCTCAGAAGACAACAGTGCTAAAGCAGCTCTGTAAAAAACACTCACTATTCCTGACAGACTGGACACACCTCCAAGTACAGAGGAAACTAGTGAGGCCAATGGATAAACAACATTAAAAAACTGCAGGAAAAGTAAAACCAATGATATATCCACAGATAAAGGAGGCAACAGTAGTAAATAACTGGCACAACTCAGTAATATTCTTAGTATGTATGGCCTCAACTTTCCAATGAAAAGACACACATTGGCAGACTGGATCAAAAAACAAAATCAAACAATGTCTTGCATTCAAGAATCTTACCTAATCTAAAGATATCTTCATAGACTAAAAGTTAAAGGATGGAGAACAACATTCCATGCGGCAGAACCCTGAAAACAAGCAGGGACAGCAATTCTGATATCAGACATGGTACATGTCAAGTTAAAATGGATTAGAAGAGGCAGAGGAGGTCACTACATATGAGTTAATGGAAAAATTCAACTAAAAGAAATAACACTGATCACCACATATGCACAAAATACTAGAGCATCTATCTTCATTAAGCAAAAATTGCTGAAGTTCAAGACCTAATAAACATTTGTAAAATCATAGTAAAAAATTGCAACACCACATTTACAAAGAGAAATTAACTAAGAAAACCAATAAACATACTTCAGAGCTGAAACACAACATTAAACGTGTGGGTTTAATAGATATATATACACAGTATCCCACCTCGCTACAATAGACTATATACTCTTTTCACGAGCACATGATACTTTTTCCAAAATAGGTCACACACTAGTCCACAAAACCTGATTGGGTAAATAGAAAAGAATTTAAATGCCCCTATGCATACTACCCAACTGTGTAAATAAAATATAAATCAATGAGAGAAGGAATTTTGGAATAAGAGAAAACTCATACAAAATTAACAATACTCCTAACAACCAATGAGTCAGAGACAAAATCAAAAAAGAAATTTCAAATACTGTGGAAGTTAATGATAATAATGTGTAACTCCACCAAACTTCTGCAACTTTGTGAAAGCGGTTCTAAGAGGAAAATTCATCACAGTTAATGCTCACATTAGGAAAAGAGAGCAGGTCCAGGTAAATAATTCTATGAGAAATCTTGAGGAATTTGAGAATCAACAGCAAACCAGACTCAAACTAACACTGAAGAGGGACATAACAAAGTCAATAAAACTGAGACCGAAAATCAATGCGTGAAAGACCTAGTTCTTTAAAAGAATGAGTAAAATAGTCAAGTACTTAACAAGAGTCACTAAGAGAAAGAGAAAAGAGACTGACAACAATGCAATGAACAACGACAAAGGTAAAATTACAACAGACACTGTCAAATCCAGAAGAAAGTAACTACATCGAAAAAGTACATCGCAACAAATTAACAAATTTTAGAGAAATGGACAGATTCCTAGACATATACAAACTACTGAAACTAACCCAAGAAGATAAAAATATGTTTTACAACCCAATAACAAGCAATGAAATTGATGCATTCACCAAAGAAAACCTTTAAGGGTATTATACACAATGTTCCTCAAGCTCTTCAAATAAATTGAAAGT